AATGGATTTTCAAAATCATAACGACACGATATAATTGGAGAATATATTATTTATGATGTTCAGAAAACGTAACATTAAAATTCAGGAAAATATAATTGAAGCTTGCAAAAAATAATAATTAATACTGTAGAAAATCGAAACGTTCTCAAAGGGGTTTTCGAAATCATAACATCACGATATAATTCGAAAATGACTAATAATAATAATAATAATTCGAAAATATATTTTTCCAGACACGCAGTCGCCATTAAAGTACAGAGAAATGAAATAAAAGCTTGGAAAAAATAACTCTTAATCCCGTACATCCTCGAATGGTTTCTCGAAACAGTAACGACACTTTTTTTGGCGAATATATTTCCCCCAGACCCTCGAAACGGTCGATCCCTTCGAATCAATTTATTATTGGCGCTATAACATCCGTAATTGAGTTTCGTTGGGAAATGTTCGCGCACAAAGTCCCGTCGATGAATAATACAGTGAAAAATCATCCGTAGCCGGATCGTCCAATTTTATTTTTTCGCGAAATTCTTTCATAGACGGGATTTATGATCGCTGATATTCGAACCGTACCGATAATACTTTTTAAGCTTTTCCAGTTTCGTCCAAACGAGTTTACAGTTTCGAAAATGTATTTTCCCTCGCGGTTTTCCCCTTTCCAAATGCGCCAAGAAAATGTGGCAAATTTTAGATATTTTACGGTCTTTTATGTACGTCACGGTTAGGGGTTAATACTGTTTCAAAGTGAACTTTCGCGAACGATCGGTCCGCGTCGTAAAAAAATATTTTACAGTTGGCGATTTATAGGAATCGTGGTTTCATTTGTGCCTCGATCGCGACCTGTCGCGTACACTCAGCAATAATGGCAGGACGTTTGGAAATTGGGTCGTTTTCTACAGCGGTCGGCCTGAAAACAAGGCAATCGCGAAGAGTGGCTTTTTCCCCGGGACAGGACTTTCGTTTTTGAATCGTTCGACGTGAAAGTTGGTCAGATCTAAGAGCTCTCGCCTTAATATCTTTTGTGAATAGTCTTCTCTGTTTCTGGAACTTCTTCCTCTTCCTCGAAATTCCCTAGAAAGAGAGTGCGTTCCACTTTCACGGTCGTCTCGAGAGAATCGATTCCTCGAAACGGTGGGGGATTTTTTCGGGAATCGATGATTCGATTTTCCTCCCCCCTCGAAGAATTAACGGGTAGAAAGCTTTTGGGCGATATTAGCTGGGTGAGCTGGTTCGCGCGGGATTCTCGAACCTCTTTGTCCTAAATGAGTGAGAAGGCCTTTTCATTTTGAATGCATCGCGAATCTGGGTCAATTCTGGCTACACCCGGCGTCGGTGCACTGCACATTGCCTATTTCAGTCCCTCTTTTAACCCTCGGATAATCGAAGCAAAGTCACCAGCCGATGGCTTTTCCGCCCGAGTTCCGCGTTTTCTAGCACGGGGGGACCCCCAAGGTCGCCATTTCTCGATCGATCCTACTCTCTCTTCTTGTCTTCGAGATCCCAATCTATAATACATCCTTCCTGTTTGTACGCCGCTCTGGAAACGCCATCGGAATCCCCTGATTCGATCGAAACCGAACATAACACCATCCGGGGGTTATTATTCCCCGGGTTTGTCCCCAGAGTGCGAACCCATGGCAAGCCCAGGACCGTGATACCGGAAACAATTTAAATTCTTATTACGGTATATCGACGAAAAAAACCATTGTGCGGACACCTGGGATCGAACTGGGGTCATCGAGATTCGTAGTCGAATGTTTTATCGTTGTCGCCGCTACTTCCTCCTATTTATTTATGATATTTACCGGTAATTGTTCAATTTAACGTGACTCGTATCACTTTGTAGACTTGTTATCGTATGCAGAATGAAATTAGAATCAATGATTGTCGATTAATCCCTCCGAATATTGTAATATTAATTTTCTGATCGACCCATATAATTCCTAACCTCTTGAAGGTAAAACGAGAAGTGATAATTCACAAATTTTTTTACAGCAGAAAGTTTCCACATGTATTCTTTAATATTTCAAGGTGCCAATAGTTTTTTTTCGTTACGTTTTATCGACTTTGGATGAAATAATAAATGTTTCGAAGTCCTCGTCTGACCAGTGGTTGATATTTCTACTTAAAAATGGGATTAAAACTTCCCAAAGTGTTCTTCGATTGAATATTTGTAAATTCTAAGGGGCAAATAGTAATATTAGCGAATAAAATTGCCTCTGCATGAATTTCGATGACCACGTCTGACCAGTGGTTGATATTTCTACTTTAAAAGAAGGTCTAACACTTCCCGGCGGTTCCTCAAGTAAATTCCCCTAAATCAAACATTGTATAAATGTTCAAATATTAATTCTACACACTTTCTTTGTTAAACAAACATAAATTAGAGTCATTAATTATCAATTAATCTATCTGAAAATTCTAATATCAATTATCCTTGGATCTCGAATTTTTTGGCAGGAAAATTGTACAATCATATTCTTCAAACTTAGGTACACATATTCATTGCTATTTCTAGATTCTATACAAATTTTTTGGTGATAAAATATTAACAATTCGCCATTTCACACATTGCAGCTTCCAGCCAATTAATTTATGGTATTTCTCGCTAATTATTCGATTTAACTAGCCTCGTATCACTTTGTAGACTTACTCTCGTTTGTAGAGTGAAATTAGAATCACCGATTACCTCTCGATCCATCAAAAAATTCAAATATTCATTTTCCGTCCGATCCATATAATGTCAAACCCCTTAAATTCATGGTTCCCCTTTGAGAACCGCTGAATTAAACGACTAGACGCGGTGGATTACGTCTGGAGTGATTTACAGGCACGTGGGGAGGGGGGGGGGCGTGGATTTTCTAAACAGACCCGGTGTTTCGTCAGGGAAGTCGTCTGGGGGTCCGCGAGTGGAAAAGCCGATTTCTGGTCGGACTGGCGGTGGGAAACGTGCAACGAAATTATCGGTGTGCACCGCGGTCTTGTGTTACGCGGCAATTATACCGACGAAACGATTTCCAGCTGGAAGATTCAAACACCTACGGGGCCATTGTGCCGCGGTTAGCCGAGGATGAACAAGAGCTCGCCTCCGCGCCTTTGCGACCCGCGGTTTTTCCAACCCCCGCGCTTCCAACGGTGCCTTTATTGTATTTTCCAAACAATAAACGACCGGCCCGGGTGTATCGCGGATGATAAAACTCGCCCCGAGCTTAATTCCGTCCGGGCGGATTAAGGGGACGTGTTAATTAGAAAGAGTCACCCGAGTCTATCTCCAAACCGTGTCCACATCTCGATTTCGAATTTTTTTCGCTGGAAAATTGTTCAATCTTCTTCTTAAAAATTAGGTACACGTATTCGTTGGTATTTGTAGATTGCGTAGAAATTTTTTGGTGATGAAATGTTCACCCTTTACCGTGTACAATGGCGTCGCAAGTTTCACCATCCATGAGGTTCGTCATCCATGATTTCGAATTTTTTTCGCTGGAAAATTGTTCAATCTTCTTCTTAAAAATTAGGTACACGTATTCGTTGGTATTTGTAGATTGCGTAGAAATTTTTTGGTGATGAAATGTTCACCCTTTACCGTGTACAATGGCGTCGCAAGTTTCACCATCCATGAGGTTCATCATCCATGATTTCGAATTTTTTTCGCTGGAAAATTGTTCAATCTTCTTCTTAAAAATTAGGTACACGTATTCGTTGGTATTTGTAGATTGCGTAGAAATTTTTTGGTGATGAAATGTTCACCCTTTACCGTGTACAATGGCGTCGCAAGTTTCACCATCCATGAGGTTCATCATCCATGATTTCGAATTTTTTTCGCTGGAAAATTGTTCAATCTTCTTCTTAAAAATTAGGTACACGTATTCGTTGGTATTTGTAGATTGCGTAGAAATTTTTTGGTGATGAAATGTTCACCCTTTACCGTGTACAATGGCGTCGCAAGTTTCACCATCCATGAGGTTCATCATCCATGATTTCGAATTTTTTTCGCTGGAAAATTGTTCAATCTTCTTCTTAAAAATTAGGTACACGTATTCGTTGGTATTTGTAGATTGCGTAGAAATTTTTTGGTGATGAAATGTTCACCCTTTACCGTGTACAATGGCGTCGCAAGTTTCACCATCCATGAGGTTCATCATCCATGATTTCGAATTTTTTTCGCTGGAAAATTGTTCAATCTTCTTCTTAAAAATTAGGTACACGTATTCGTTGGTATTTGTAGATTGCGTAGAAATTTTTTGGTGATGAAATGTTCACCCTTTACCGTGTACAATGGCGTCGCAAGTTTCACCATCCATGAGGCTACTCACTTGTTCTTGACTTTTGTTTATTAAAATCAGCACACTTTTACTATCGACGAGGTATTCCTTAAACAAATCTATTCTTTTTCGTGGCCTTTCCTTGCGCGAAGAAATTTAAACAAAATTAAATATACATTTAAAAAATTATATGGAATTCTAATATTTTTGCACGAATATTAATTTTAATTTTTGGAGCTTACAATTCGTCATTTTACGCCTTGCAGAACATAGTAAACAAAGTGTTGTGACTTCCATAATTTTATATTTAGAATGGGAAATGAAAGGAGGAAGTCACCGATTTAAAAAAATGAACAAAACTACCCCCAAGTGCAAAAAAAAAGTGCTTAATCCCTGAAAAAATGAGCTCGATTATTTCGGGATTTTTAATAACATTGTTCGGCGTTGGTAAACTTTCGTCGCGAAAACCGTAAATCTACGCGGATGATACGAGAAGCAGAGCATTTTCCTCGCCCGAAATTCCCTGAAACGAAGGGCTTTAACTCTAATCCTGTCGGGATGTGACTTCCGGGTTACGTGCTAACTTTAAGGCCTGCAAACATTTTCTGTATCATTAAGTTACAAAATACGTGCAGTGTCGCTGTAGAAATTTCGTAAACTCGAGTGCTATCATCCCTGTAGGATTAGAACCCTTTTCCGGGGGGGGACTGTGTCTTCACGTGAGTGTGTTTATTGTTTCAGGGAGAGGAGGATGAACCTCCGGAGGCGTTGAACATGGGCTGGCCCAGCAGTCCCAGGAAAAGACTATCTTACATTTTGGTAGCGCCCATCCTTTTCCCTCTGTGGCTGACCTTACCAGACACGAGGACACCGAGGGGTAAGAAACGAGGAATAAAAACTAATTTATATCTCTCGCGAAACGTGCAATTTCACCCTGGAAGAAAGTTTCGTTCGGGTGATTCGGTCTGAAGTGTAACCGGAACTCGTGGCTGACCTTTCGAAGTTATCCACCGTCACGGCTTGTCCTCGTGACCGACTGCTTCGTCGTGGCCTGGCCAGAAAATTCCGTTGTATTTTGAGTTACGCCGCCCACGCGTGCCCTTTCCCATTCGTTCGAGAAACTGGCAACCTTTCCACCAACGCAATTATTCCGTTTATGCTCGCAATATTTTGACAAGAGATTACATGGTAAATGTTTGGAGGACAATAATCAAAATCGGCAATTTTCCGCATCCCCTCGGAACGACCGCGATCTCTACTAATCCCCAGCCTCGTACAAATTACACGACACCGTGTAGAACTCTCGAATTTCTACGGTCTGCTGGTCCACCGGCGAAACAATTTGAATATGGAACCGTAATCTTTGCGGACGATCGACTGTTCGCGACGGACCATCCGCGAATTAGGGTTGAAAATGGTAGATCGATATGCAATCTACCTCAGACCTCATTTTCTCTTCTTCCGCTTATTCGTGGCGCGATCCTCTTCCAACTGAACATTCCATTCGCTCAATTTTTTCCAAACACTGGTTTATTTCGACTCTGGTGGGTCCCTGAATTCTATCAAAAGATTAAAAAGGTCCACGGAGAGCTGGCAATTTAAATAATCGTTCATAATCGACCCCCATCTGTTAATATATTGATTAAGTTAGTAATTTAGTTGGAACACACGATTGAACGAGCCCCCAACGGGTAAAAGTAACATATAAGAAGTAATATTTGACGATTTTTTTACAGCATAGCAATAATTATTTAAACTATATTTATCTCGTAATTAAATTAGAAGTCTATTGCAAGCATCACTTCTTTTTTTTGTGTTCAGAGGTGTGTGGCTTCGATAATTTTCCATTTTCTAAGGACGATTTTAGTTCACACAACGCTCAGTACAGTTGGAGAGTGTTAGATCATCGTTTTAAGTAGAAATATCAACCATTGGTCGGACGGGGTCTTCAAAATTGATGCAGAGGCAATTATTATTCGGTAATATTATTATTTCCCCCTTCAAATTAAAAAATATTCAGTCGAGGAATAGTTAAGAAGTGTTAGACCTTCTTTTTAAGTAGAAATGTCAACCACTGATCGGACAAGGTCTTCCAAATCAATACAATCAATTTTATTTGCTAATGTTACTATCGTTTACCCCTCCAAATTAAAAAATATTCAGTCGAGAAACAATTGAGAAGCGCCACACCTTCTTTTTAAGTAGAAATATCAACCACCGGTCGGACAAGGTCTCCGAAATCAATACAGCCAATTTAATTCGCTAATATTATTATCATTTACCCCTTCAAGTTTAATAATATTCGGTCGAAAAACACTTGAGAAGCGCCACACCTTCTTTTTAAGTAGAAATATCAACCACTGATCCGACGAGAAATCAAAATCGATTAAATTTAACGGGAAAAAAACTATTTGCACTCTCGAAACGTTGAAGAATATAATTGGAGAGTGGTGAAAAGTTTCATGGAGGCCCCTGTGCTGTAAAAAAATTGTCTCGTCCCTTAAGATCGACGCTGGACGACCGCCGGGTCTGTTATTCAAAACCTTTTCCCTGGGGGGTGGGGGGGGGGGCGCTATCAATCAGTAACGGGGCGCATTATCGCGGCCTATTAACGGCCTGTATTTCAACGGAGCACAATGCCAGCCGACGAAAGATGATATTGACACGCTAATTTCGAATCGACGACTGATTGTCGCCTGCCTCGCGCAGCCAGCCATTCAACGGCCCCGACGCCGTCGCTTTTCATTGTTACGGAAAATTGCTGCGACTGCCTGTTCGACGCGCTCCGCTGGCAAAAATTTCCGCCACGCTTCCGCGGAACCGCGCCACGAAATAGTCGGTACAGTTTAGTCGCGCCCGCTGAACAAACTTCGTTCGGAGTCGCCTTCGAACAAACGGGAATATTCTCGCGACTCTGACTTTGCATTTAAAAAAAAAAAAAAATGAATCAAAAGCTTGCGGTAATATTTATTTTCGTTCAATTACTTGGTATGGAGATGATCGACAAGGATTCGTTGAGAAATTCCGTTGTTTACTGCGACTTTACTCGGACGTCTGACCAATATTCGTTCTTACCACTTGAATTTGGCTTCAGGAAGCATTTATGTTGGTTTAGAAGTTATTTAGTATTCTTTTTAGATAGTTCTGAGTATAGTAGGTAGAGATATAGGGAATGAGCAGCATTGTAACGCAATAGACGTTAAAAAAACTCTTTTTTCAAGTAGAAATATCGAGTATTGGTCGGACATACTGTTTAGGTCGAAGTTTCTCGTGAATAGAGCCTCGTAGGGAAAAATTTTATTCCACATTTTCTATCCTATTTCCCCTACAGAACAACCATAATGTCTTCAATCCATTGGAATTCTATTTATATTGGTTATAATCCCAATCAAAGTCAGCGTCTGACCAATATTTGTTCTTACTACTTGAATTTGGCTTCAGGAAGCATTTATGTTGGTTTAGAATTTATTTAGTATTTTGTTTAGACAGTTCTAAATATAGTAGTATAGATTTACAGCAAAAAAAACGACACTGTAACGCAATAGACGTTAAAAAACTCTTTTTGCAAGTAGAAATATCGAGTATTGGTCGGACATACTGTTTAGGTCGAAGTTTCTCGCGAATAGAGCCTCGTACGGAAAAATTTTATTCTACATTTTCTATCCTATTTCCCCTATAGAGCAACCACAATGTATTTAATCCACCAAAATTCTATTTTTATTCTTCACAATCCCGATCAAAGTCATCTTCAGAACTTTAAGACAAATAACAACCCTTTTCTGACTATTCTCCGCTACGAACACGAAATAATTCTTTTAATTAACGACCAGAGCACCTGGTGGATACGTATAAAAATTTTAATACTTCAGAGGACGAGTACCCAATCGAATGGAGGAGGTATCCCCGTCGAACGAAACCCAATAATTTTAATATCCACGGAACAGCGGAGTCCTGGTCACGGACGGTCGAATCTAATCGCGTATAGTCGTCCCGTGGAATTAGATTATCGCGATAGAAAGTCTTTTGGGCGTGGTGGGGCTCGATACGCGGCCGGTCTGATATATGATCGACCCTTTCTACTCGCTACGAACATCGAACCGTCAAAGGGGAGGCAATCCGGATAGGTTTCCGCTCGAACCAGCGAAAAGGGGACGCGGATACGAGTCCAGCGATGCTTTCTCGAACAGAACCCAATCATTTGGATGTTAGATTCGTAGAGGGAAAGTCGCGCGGGAGCTAAATTGGTCAGAGACAGCGTTCACTCGATTTCCACTTGGAATTTGTCGCGGGCCAAAGATGGCGGTTGTAAATATTTTAAATACGGATCCTCCGTCGTCGCGACGGTCAAAGGAGAACTTATTTCCGGGGTTTCTTCCGGTTTCAGGCAGTGGCGAGGCTCGATAACACCTACAGTAGCCGCGACCTATCTACAGGGTGACCCATTTCCATCTATAAATACGTTGCGTTATGCAAAGTTCGTTGCGCCAAAGGGAAAATTGATTTTGTCCTGGTGTTATTCGGTTTCACTTTTCGTACGTTTTGGTGAAACGAAAAATTCCTCGGCAAATGTCTGACCGTAGAATGGGGGATCAAGGTGAGAATTTCGGTAGGACCGTTTTCGGTTCGAGGTGATCGAATCTTCCCCGATGAGAGGGGGGTTGGAATTGAGACGGGGATAATCCAATCGTGAGGGAATCCCTTCGTTCTGACAAAGGAGACTCGAGGATCGCTGAGACCCAAACGTGTCTGCTTTTTAGGGAAGAAGCTCTTCGCGGTGACGTTCATCGGGTCGATCTTCTGGATAGCGGCGTACTCGTACCTGATGGTCTGGTGGGCGAACGTGGCCGGCGACACTGTTCGCATACCGCCGGAAGTGATGGGCCTGACGTTCCTCGCCGCTGGCACCAGCATCCCGGACCTGATCACCAGCGTGATCGTCGCGCGAAAAGGATTCGGCGACATGGCCGTGTCGAGCTCCGTGGGCAGCAACATTTTCGACGTCACAGTTGGGTAAGATCCTTCGCGCACACGCGGATATTCAGCACAAACCATATTCTATATCAATCATTCCATAATAGTATACAGGATAATCCCTAAAGTTTCCTCGATCTTCCACTGTCACGGCTGAAATAAAGGCAGCTTTCGAAGTATTTTTTCGACGTAACTATGAAACTTTTTCTGATAGGTGTTCGGTGTTCTCAAAAGTGTATTCCTTGGACCACTTCTTAGAAAAATTTCGTATGAAAATATTAATTATTACAGCCATTATAGGTACCAGTGTAAGAAGCCTCCAAAAGTTTCTTAGAAATGTGAAATTCGTTAGGAATTTTCTTCAACTACACAAGTACCTTCGATTGCACATGGATTATTATTAGACTGCGGATTTTTATGCAAATTCATATATTTATTAATAAAATTAATAAAATAACAGCTTCGTAGAGGGTTCTTTCAACCCCTAAATACAATAATTCTTATCTTACTTCAGTTTCTGTTATATTTTTCCATATTAAATGCATTCTATAGTTTTTTCACAATCTAAATTTCCCATAAATGCATAAATATCCGTAGTCTAATTATTATATATTATAAAATGGTGGAAAAAGGGATGTGTCGAAGAATAACTGGCTGTTATTTTCTAGGTTAACCTATCGAAAATAATTGAGACCAAAATGGCGTCGAGAAATTTGGTGCCAGGAGAAAACAAAATGGGGTACAGAAATTCCCCAACAAATTCATTCATGCTCGCTTCAATCGAGTCTCTGTTATTATTTATTGCAAAAAGATATATTTTTGAGCCTCTAGTAATAATTATATATTATAAAATGGTGGAAAAAGGGATGTGTCGAAGAATAACTGGCTGTTATTTTCTAGGTTAACCTATCGAAAATAATTGAGACCAAAATGGCGTCGAGAAATTTGGTGCCAGGAGAAAACAAAATGGGGTACAGAAATTCCCCACCAAATTCATTCATGCTCGCTTCAATCGAGTCTCTGTTATTATTTATTGTAAAAAGATATATTTTTGAGCCTCTAGTGATTAAAATAATTGCAGGATAAATAGAGAACCGAAGCCCCCTGACGAAAATGGCGGCCGTTTCGAAAGCTTTGTGGAATAATTGCAGCGTGGAGGCGCAAATGGATGAAAGAAAACGACACGGTGGCTCCTTTTGGCGGGCCAATCCCGAGAATAAAAGCGAGGAGCGTGTCCCTCGGTCCCGTACGAGACTAATTCATCGGTATTTGTTTTTCCCCCGCAGTCCGATGTAGGTCGCGTATGGATTTACGCGGCTCCGTTTATAAGTGGCCATCGCGTCGCGGTTATCGAGGGCATCGGTTATAGCAATTTTCACGCGAGACACATAATCTGCCGGCCGTATACGTGCTTCTCCGAGCCTGTCGCTAATGCACACGAAACGAGATACGTTTAAGGAAAGCCTCTCTTCCCCCATATCGATTCGACGGCGCTTTAAACGTTTCCCTCAAACAATCCTGATGGACGCCCCTGAACACTGAAAATTCATATTAATACGCGTTCATTGCTAATCTATTTCTCACCAAATATTTCCATTTGGATATATTTGCAATATTCACCCCATTTTAAATTTTCATCCCTCGAGGTTATTATTGTTATCACGCTATTTAAAGAAATATTTATTTATTTAAAATGAACAGCAGTCAGAGAAATTTCTAGTAATTTCTAGGTAGAAGATGGTCAAAAATCTATTTTTGGGGAGCTCGATGTTTTTTCGAGGGATGAAAGATCGTAGATTTTAGCAGATTCGTTCCCCGCCCCATAGACAATTAGGTAAATTTACGGTTATAGTCGAGTTCCGGAGATCGTTTGGGGGGGGGGGGGGTGCTATTATTCCGAGGGGCGGTTAAGGCGCGAGTAATAAGATTACGTCACTTTGAGCCGGTGGAATCTCTCGTTAGTCGCCACTCATCTCGCCGGGAAACATGCTCGGCTGATTCTCGCCGGTCCTCTACACGCTGACAATTATTTCACAGAAATCGGGAATTCGCCTCGTTACGCGACGCACCGGGGCTTGAAGGGATCATCGCGAGGGCTCCGTAAAAAATTAGTCTACCAACGATCTCGTGGCCACGTGCTCTCAGCAAGACCCGCCCCCCCAAAATAAACAATCTCTTTTCTTACGTTCGTAGCTTCTCGAGCATTTAAGAAACAAAATTAGACATTTCTAAGGGTAGTGATACAGACTATCAAGGCAGAAAAGAACAATTTTACTCCCCTTGGTATTTCTTATTTAAACTCATTATCGATACCTGGTAATATCAAGAATTTAAGTAAATTTTCTTCTCTATTACGCACAAGAAGATTAGATTCTGATCCTTGCTAGGAAGTATTTAGCCAGAAGGACGTCTGGGTATATTACGAAAGAGTTATTGGTAACCGTGGAAAGGGCCATAAGTTATAGACAAGGTGAAACAGAGGGGGCGCGATCGTTCTCTAACGCGAATGAAAACCTAAAAGCGAAGAGAAATGGTCGTCGTGTGTACATTTCTGGATGGAATCTTGACGCAGCAGGGGCGGTATCGCCGAGACTTTTCCTTTCGTGTGTCGGATAACACGCAAAGTTTCCTTAAGGCTTTACGATCGATCGCGCGCGGAAAGAGGGGGAGGGTGGTGTCTTCGGCGAACGGAAATTGCTCGAACGTCGGGGAACGATTACTTCTTGAAAGGGGCTAAAGAAACGGCCTCCCGGACAGATTCCCTATCGTTCCCTATTGGAAATATCGGAAACGTGTACGCCGACCACAATGTATTTAATTGGATAATATAGATACAGTCGGGGTTGCCTAAATCAATCGTTTCGTCGTTCCTGTCAACCACCAGCCCCAACCTAGGGTTCCCCCAAGATTCCAATCTTTATCTACGGATTCCCTTATTTTTACATCTGACATGCTCAGGCTCACGAATTTTTTCGTGGAAAAATACCCAATTCGAAGATGGAAGCTTCAGACATCCAGGAAAATTTTTAGGGATTGTTCTAGCATGCAAGAAGAAGGACATTTTTGAAATTTTATAACTGAAAAACTATTCAAGATATCAAATTGACACTTCGCACATTTATTTGCACATATCCAACCTAGATACATGAATTTTTTCAAACAAAAATACCTAATAGTTTCGAAGATACAAGCTTCAGAGATTGAGTGGGTTTTAAGGGGTTATTCCAGCATGCAAGAACAAGGTTATTTTTGAAATTTTGTAACTGAAAAACTATTCAAGATATCAAATTGACACTTTGCACATTTAATTATACATATTACACTGGGATACATGAATTTTTTCAAACAATAATACCTTATAGTTTCGAAGATACAAGCTTCAGAGATTGAGTGGGTTTTAAGGGGTTATTCCAGCATGCAAGAACAAGGTTATTTTTGAAATTTTGTAACTGAAAAACTATTCAAGATATCAAATTGACACTTTGCACATTTAATTATACATATTACACTGGGATACATGAATTTTTTCAAACAATAATACCTTATAGTTTCGAAGATACAAGCTTCAGAGATTGAGTGGGTTTTAAGGGGTTATTCCAGCATGCAAGAACAAGGTTATTTTTGAAATTTTGTAACTGAAAAACTATTCAAGATATCAAATTGACACTTTGCACATTTAATTATACATATTACACTGGGATACATGAATTTTTTCAAACAAAAATACCTAATAGTTTCGAAGATACAAGCTTCAGAGATTGAGTGGGTTTTAAGGGGTTATTCCAGCATGCAAGAACAAGGTTATCTTTGGAATTTTGTAACTGAAAAACTATTCAAGATATCAAATTGACACTTTGCACATTTAATTATACATATTACACTGGGATACATGAATTTTTTCAAACAAAAATACCTAATAGTTTCGAAGATACAAGCTTCAGAGATTGAGTGGGTTTTAAGGGGTTATTCCAGCATGCAAGAACAAGGTTATTTTTGAAATTTTGTAACTGAAAAACTATTCAAGATATCAAATTGACACTTTGCACATTTAATTATACATATTACACTGGGATACATGAATTTTTTCAAACAATAATACCTAATAGTTTCGAAGATACAAGCTTCAGAGATTGAGTGAGTTTTAAGGGGTTATTCCAGCATGCAAGAACAAGGTTATTTTTGAAATTTTGTAACTGAAAAACTATTCAAGATATCAAATTGACACTTTGCACATTTAATTATACATATTACACTGGGATACATGAATTTTTTCAAACAAAAATACCTAATAGTTACCAAGATACAAGCTTCAGAGATTGAGTGGGTTTTAAGGGGTTATTCCAGCATGCAAGAACAAGGTTATCTTTGGAATTTTATAACTGAAAAACTATTCAAGATATCAAATTGACACTTTGCACATTTAATTATACATATTACACTGGGATACATGAATTTTTTCAAACAAAAATACCTAATAGTTACCAAGATACAAGCTTCAGAGATTGAGTGGGTTTTAAGGGGTTATTCCAGCATGCAAGAACAAGGTTATCTTTGGAATTTTGTAACTGAAAAACTATTCAAGATATCATATTGACACTTTGCACATTTAATTATACATATTACACTGGGATACATGAATTTTTTCAAACAATAATACCTAATAGTTTCGAAGATACAAGCTTCAGAGATTGAGTGAGTTTTAAGGGGTTATTCCAGCATGCAAGAACAAGGTTATTTTTGAAATTTTGTAACTGAAAAACTATTCAAGATATCAAATTGACACTTTGCACATTTAATTATACATATTACACTGGGATACATGAATTTTTTCAAACAAAAATACCTAATAGTTTCGAAGATACAAGCTTCAGAGATTGAGAAGGATTTTAATGGAGTTGTTCTAGCATGCTAAAATAAGAACAGCTTCAGAATTTAATAACTATAAAACCATTCGTGATATGAAATTGAAACTTCGCGCATTTATTCGCACATATCCAACCTGGACGCATGAATTTTTTCAAAGAAAAATGCACGCCAGT